TGTCCAAGCCAACCGTCGCCGAGACAACCGTCCCCACACCAACCGTCACCAAGAAAACTGTCCCCACACCAACCGTCGCCAAGACAACAGTCCCCATACCAACCATCGCCAAGACACCAGTCCCCATGCCAACCGTCGCCGAGACAACACTCCAGACTCCAAGCATTACTGAGACAACCATCCCCATGAAAACCGTCACTGAGAAAACCATCCACACGCCAACCGTCGCTGAGACAACAGTCCCCACGCCAACTGTCACTGAGACGACCATCCTCAAGCCAGCCATCAGGAATACAACCATCCCCGTGACAACCGCTCCCACAGCAACCGCCCCCACGCCAGCTGTCGCTGAAACAACCATCGCATTACTGAGACAACCATCCCCATGAAAACCGTCACTGAGAAAACCATCCACACGCCAACCGTCGCTGAGACAACAGTCCCCACGCCAACTGTCACTGAGACGACCATCCTCAAGCCAGCCATCAGGAATACAACCATCCCCGTGACAACCGCTCCCACAGCAACCGCCCCCACGCCAGCTGTCGCTGAAACAACCATCCCCCAGGCCAACCGTCCCTATGCCAACAGTTGCTGAGACAACCGTCCCCAAGCCATACGTCCCCACAACAACTGTTACCAAGACAACAGTCCCCACGCTAACCGTTGCCGAGACAACGGTCCCCACACCAACCATCGCCAAGACAACCGTTGCGGAGACAACAGTCCCCACGCCAAACATCGCCACGCCAACCATCGCCGAGACAACTGTCCAGACACCATTCGTCCCTGAGACAACCGTCTCCAGAACAACCGCCGCCAAAACTACGGTCCACATGCCAACCGTCATTGAGACAACCATCCACACGCCAACCATCGCTGAGACAACCGTCGCAAAGACAACCATCAACAAGATAAGCATCTACAAGATAACTGTCCCCACGCCAACCACCCCCACGTCAACCGTCGCCAACAAAACAGTTCCCACACAAACTAGTCACCACGCCAACCATCACCACGCTAACCGTTGCCATGTCAACTATCAACAAGACAACAGTCCCAAGGCCAACCATCACTAAAACCACCATCCCCCACGCCAACCGCCACCCAGGCCAAAGATCCCCACGCCAACTGTCGCCAAGTAAACCATCGCCAACACAACCCTCCCCACGCCAACCGCCACCGAGACAACGGTCCCCATGCCAACCGTCCCCAAACCAACCGTGCACATACCAGCTATCACTGAAACAACCATCGCCAAGACAACCATCCCCATACAAACCGTTGCCTACACATCTGCATCCACGTCAACCATCGTCGTGACAACTGCCCCCACACCAACCGTACCCAGATAGAACCGTCCCCAGGCCAAATGTCCCCACAAAAATCGTCCCCAAGACAACCCTCCCCAAATCAAACATCCCAACAACAACGGTCCCCACGCCAACCATCGCCACACCAACATTCGCCGAGACAATGGTCCCCACGCCAGCCATCACTGAAACAACGATCCCCAGGCCAACTGTCCCCACGCAACCGTCGCCAAAACAACAATCCCCACGCCAATCGTCCCCACGCCAACCGATACCGAGAGAATGGTCCCCATGCCAACCGTCGCCAAGACAACCGCGTCGCCAAGCGTCAGCGAGACAACCATCGCCGAGACAACCATCCCCACGACAAAGGTCCCCGCACCAACCGTCCCGACGCCAACCGTGCCCATGCCAACTGTCACTGAGACAACCATCGCCAAAACAAGCACCCCATACCAACCATTACCTACACATCGGCATACACGCCAACCGTCGCCGTGACCACTGCCCCTATGCCAACCGTCCCAGATAGCGAGACAACCATCGCCGAGACAACCATCCCCACGACAAAGGTCCCCGCACCAACCGTCCCGACGCCAACCGTGCCCATGCCAACTGTCACTGAGACAACCATCGCCAAAACAAGCACCCCATACCAACCATTACCTACACATCGGCATACACGCCAACCGTCGCCGTGACCACTGCCCCTATGCCAACCGTCCCAGATATAACCACCCCCAGGCCATCCATCCCCACAAAGATTGGCGCCGAGACAACCCTCATCGAAACAACCACCCCAATGCCAACCATCGCCACGCCAACGTTCGCCAATACAACGGTCCCCATGCCAACTGCCACCAAGCCAACAATCCCCATGCCAATCGTTGCCGAGACAACAGTCCCCATGCCAACCATCGCTGAGACAACCATCATCGAGACAACAATCCCCATGCCAACCGTCCCTGAGAGAGGCGTCTCCAAGACAACCGTCACTGAGACAACCGTCCCCACACCAACCGTCACCAAGACAACCGTCCCCACGCCAACCGTTGCCGAGACAACAGTCCCCATACCAACCATCGCCAACACACCAGTCCCCATGCCAACAATCGCTGAGACAACACTCCAGACTCCAACCGTCACTGAGACAACCATCCCTAATC